GGAGCACAGGTGAACCGCCGGCTCGCTGCTCGATTTTGAATCCGCCGCCGCCGCGCCGGATTCTCGGGGGGTTCCTTCTCCGCTGAAATTTATTAACGATCAGTGATTCACGCAGCAGGGAAGCCGAAATGCCCGCTTATTTTTACGCGCGCTCTCTCCCCCTTATTTTCCCCGCGCCGTCCCTCTCGGGGCCCCGCGCGTCCACCGACGCGTATGGTAGCCCGCCTCGGGCCCCGGCAGCCCCCCTCGGCTCTGCTGCCGTTTCTTCTTCTGCGAGGGGCTCCATTGACAAACGATATTGCCGGCGACGAGTTATCGTCGCGAGCCGGACGCCGTGAAAGGAGGGAACACCGTGCTTTATTTCTGTATCACGGCTGACAAACACGTGTTGCACCCGAAACCTTGGCCCGAATCGCTAGTTATTCGGTCGGTCCATCGTTGATTCATTCGCCGCCCTGCCCTGCCCTGCCCTGCCCGTGCAGCGCGGTGCAGTGTCATGTGCATCCCGCCGAGCCGAGCCGAGCGGAGCCGCGGCGGTGCGGTGGCTGGCCGGCCGGCCGAATCGTCTAATTTTGCCGCGGCGAGGGAACCCTGAGTCGGTCCCGGTGACTCCTCGGTTCGGACTCGGACAGCCGTTCCATTCGGGACCACCAGCTTCGAGAAAATAACGAACGGCACCCTCGATCTCTCCGGCTGCTGCTGGCTCTCTCCTCCGCCGGCCGATACCGCTGCCAATCGCTCCGCCTCGCTCGCCTTCGATCCGCAGATTTATCAATCCGCGTTTCCAAGTTTGACGATAGAGGCACTATCCTACTAGGTATAATAATGTCTCTCTCGACGCTTAGATTGCGCAGAAAATGGACAATCTGGGAAGAGGAGACACGATTAATTTGAGTCTTGAAGGCGAGCTGCGAGCAGCTGCAAGGCTCGAATAATCGTATCTCCTCTTCCCAGATTGTCCAATTTCGTGCACAATCTGAGCGTCAATTAGAAAGACATTACTGTAATAGGTCTATTAATACTATTTTCTTGAATTTTGCTATTACTTGGAACGACGAACGAAATAAGAAACTCGCGTTTCTTAAGTCTTTCATCCGAGCCTATAACGAACACTTAAATAACGCTGTCGACGCGCTCCTTGATGCGGCGAGTGCATCTCTTCGGGATCTCTGATTTGTTGTAGCAACAAGTAAGAAAATAAGTGGCAAAGCTATGGAACAGGCAGCGAGAATGAGGGGAATCATCGGAGACATTTACCTAAGCGTCTCTCGAATGAAGTCTGAACAAGGATCAACGGATTGGAATCGGATTCGAGAAGATCTATAATTCTGCGGAATGGATTGCGGTTCGAAGCTGGTGCGTTGCGACGAGGACGAGACGATAATGGAGAACAGAAGGATAACGAAGAAGAAGAAGAAGAAGACAACGAAAGCGAACGAATATGATCGTTGCACGGTGGAGATGGAACGAATTTGGACCAAGGAGGAGACATGGTCGCAGGAGAAACGAATTCCTCTTCGCATCGTTTCGTTTTCTTTTCTTTTTTTTTTTTTAACAAAAGAATTTTATTCTTTCTCAATTTACGATAACAAGTGACTAGCACTTAAAATACAGCGATCGATATCGGCCAGAATTCGAAAACCGCATAACACACACGCGCCCCCAAGATTCTCCGATTTTCACACGCGTTGTTTGTTTGCTTGTTTGTTTGTTTGTGTTTTTTTTTGTTTTGGAATGTATCGATTAGGCACGCTCTGGAAGCACAATCTTTCATCCCTCGATCATATACAATGTCTCTCGCACCTCGGTTTACCTTTTCTCGACCGGCACTCGTCGATACCCGCGAAAAGTTTCTCGCGTTACCAACGGATCATCGATGCTGCACAAATATTTATCGTTCCACTTTCTACGGTGGAAGGTACAAAAATATAAAAAGAAAGACGAACGAATCCGGAGAGACCGCGCGGAGAAAGAAAAATATATCCACAGCACATTTTTCGGGATTATGGACGAGACGAGATCGATTTCCGGCCCAAGGTCACGCATAAATCCGCCCCCGCACTCGCGCGCGGGCTACCCTGTTGCTCCGTTTAGTTTTTGCTCGTGCGACCGTTCGCGATCGTAAGTTCCACAAGCGTCGATCCAAGCGGTCGAGGATGCGACTTTACGGCCGAATGTTGCGCATGTTCTCTTCTCTTTCAGGGACTTTCTCAGCATCCGCTACTTTCTTCGAACCTTCCAAGTGTAGTAATCGCAAAATTACCAATCGAAGAAGCGTTTCACAGGTGTCGGTATCGTCGAGACGCTCCGGGACGCCCCGTTTTCGTAGACAAATTTTGCCGCGATAAAGTGCCGAAGATCTTTCATATCACATTTCGTTCGATCGAGTTCAATCGCTTATAAATACAACTGCTGCTGGCATTTTCTCAAATTCTCCGAACACAATGGGACGAAAAACGGCACGCCAGAACAGAAGAAGAGAACACGCCGATTCGTCTCGACTCTCGACCGACATCTCGAGCCGAACGAAAATCGATGGTCGATCCCAGAAAAGGTATCCCCGCGAGTTCAGAAAAAAAGAACTATATATCTCTCTCTCTCTCTCTCTTGCTCACACTTTCTATATCTCTAACACCCGTCACTGTCAATACGGAAGGCACTGAAAATATACATACACGTAATATGCAATTACGTAAGAACCTTAAACTCGACCATAGTCGTTAGCATGTGTTACGTTTACCGTAGAAAAACGAGCGATCTTCTTTTACAACAAAAGAAAGAAAGAAAAAATGCTCGAACCTGGTCACACAAAATGATCTGATCGGCGCGAGAGAAAACGCAAGAAAAGAAGAAGAAGAAGTAGAAGGAGTAGAAGAAAAAGTAGAAGAAGAAGATGATGATGAAGAAAGTAGACGAAGAAGAGCACAGAAAAACGAGAAACAAAACGAAGGTTCCGAATTCACACGATACGAACGAAAACGTGCACGCGAAACCGCGATAAATATCTCCTCGACAAATCACGGCCGTGTCGGCTCATCTTCAAATTTGATGGCCGAATTCTCTCTCTCTCTCTCTCTCTCTCGCTCTCTTTTTCTCTCTCATTTTAATCTTACCATCTATGCTTCGTCGATTCCTCGAATCTCTGCAGCGTTTTACTCAGCAAGTGAATGTGCGCTATGTACACTTAGGCTAGTTTCGGTAGGAACATTAAGGTCATCGAATCGATTACTCCGCGCTCGGTGATCCGCTCGCGAGACACGCGTCTCCGGTATCATTCTCGTTCACCGTGGAGCCGACCGCCGCAAAAAGATTCCACGACAATTGATTCGATGAAAAACGAACGATGACAAAAGTTGAGATCGCAGCGGATGCGTAGATTCCTTCGCTGTTTATCCAAAGAAACTGTACGAACGACTGCACAACGACTCGGATTCACTGCCAAGAGCCGATGTGATTTTGTCGCATCGTCGAAGTGCAATTTCTAAAATGCTCGAGACGATTCTCGCGCCGTCAATTTCCACGTGGAACGATTCGAACAAATAAGTTTCCTTCGACGAGTCCGATACGCGACGGTGATTTTTGGTAACGATCCGAATGAGATTGCTGTCCATAGGAGCGTTTGATTAATTTTCTCAAGCGTCCAATTTCTGCTAAGAAACTCTTTAGAGTCGAAGACGTTCCAAGGCGAAGATAACGAAGCGGCGACGGATCGAAAATCCGCCGGAACTCGCCAATACCGGCGAAACAAACGCTTTTTCGAACGACCGATACAAAGCTGGTACAATGCGAAGGACAAGGTAAGAAGAGTCCGAAGAAAATGGCTGAACGGACGAGCGGTTTCTGCAGCGCGCGAGAGATTCGCTCGCTATAAAAATAATACGATCGGTGCAGGCTCGCGTCCGGACGCGACGAGACGTCTCGCGATCGTTCCCGAGCGCGGAATAAACTCTCGAAAGCAAAACTCGGCCGCGTGCCTGACATTGCGACCAGTCCGTTACGGATTCGAGCAGCTTCCTCCTCTCGTTTCGCGATCCTCGCGGGAGCGCGATCGAGCGATCTCTTTCGGCGCGGGTCCCTCTTCTCCCCGCGCGTCGGATCAACAACGATCGCCGCGTGTCGCGTCTCGTCGCGAGTCGCCCCGAATACGATGACGACGACACACGGTCGACGGCAGCGTTCCGACGCGATCGTAAGTTAATTAACACGCTCGCCGTACTCGCGGCCGTGCATACGCGGGACACCCTCGGCTCTCCGCCGCGAAGAAAGTCGAATTAATTACACGCGTATTGTTGTTTAATGGCGCGCCGCGCAACGCTTGGGAAATCGATGGGCTCCGCCTTCTCGTAATTTCTTACGACCCGCTGCAACGCCACATTCGGCGAAAATTTCCGGTCGGACAAACTTCTCGCTTCGCGCGCCGCAAGCGACGTCTATAGAACGTTTCTATCCGCGACATAAACGATAATAAACCACCGAGTTGCTCGGAAAGTAATCGCGTTCTTTCGTGAGAAAATGAAACGCGACTTTTCGGAGTAAATGTTATTCGACGATGCATCGTTCCGCAGATTTTGGACAATTTTCTGGTAGCTTCGAGCTTTTTCTGCTCGTAGCAGTCCCCGCTCTTTAACCGTTTGGCTGCTGACGTATTTTTTCATAATAAGAAGAGCGCGACAGCGTTCCTCAGCAGTCGAACGGTTAATGGCAAAATAATACATTTTTTAACAGTCTCGCGGAACGTCATCTTTTTGGAGAACGAAATTACTTTCCGAACGACTCGACGTATGTATTTGTTTCATGGACAAATTCCTTCGGACGTTGCTGTCGCGGATTGGAACCTTGTCGAAGCGAAAGGTTCGTTCGATCGCGGACTTTTGCACGGGCATCTATTTTTAATTTCGATTCTTGTTCGATCGTATCGCCGCGATTTGCAATTTCTCCAACCAAAATCGTCGGGCGAACTTCCTCGAACAAGCAGATACTTCGAAAGATCGNACGCCACATTCGGCGAAAATTTCCGGTCGGACAAACTTCTCGCTTCGCGCGCCGCAAGCGACGTCTATAGAACGTTTCTATCCGCGACATAAACGATAATAAACCACCGAGTTGCTCGGAAAGTAATCGCGTTCTTTCGTGAGAAAATGAAACGCGACTTTTCGGAGTAAATGTTATTCGACGATGCATCGTTCCGCAGATTTTGGACAATTTTCTGGTAGCTTCGAGCTTTTTCTGCTCGTAGCAGTCCCCGCTCTTTAACCGTTTGGCTGCTGACGTATTTTTTCATAATAAGAAGAGCGCGACAGCGTTCCTCAGCAGTCGAACGGTTAATGGCAAAATAATACATTTTTTAACAGTCTCGCGGAACGTCATCTTTTTGGAGAACGAAATTACTTTCCGAACGACTCGACGTATGTATTTGTTTCATGGACAAATTCCTTCGGACGTTGCTGTCGCGGATTGGAACCTTGTCGAAGCGAAAGGTTCGTTCGATCGCGGACTTTTGCACGGGCATCTATTTTTAATTTCGATTCTTGTTCGATCGTATCGCCGCGATTTGCAATTTCTCCAACCAAAATCGTCGGGCGAACTTCCTCGAACAAGCAGATACTTCGAAAGATCGCGTTGCAGAGGGCTGCGCGAAGAAGGGTGTTCCGACGAGACGTCGCGGCGAACGCGTTAACGAATGCTTCGAGACTCGGTTTTCGCGGATCGCGCCGTTGAAACGTAAATGAGAAGAACGCCGGGTGCTTCTGTCGGACCATAGAGTCACGGACATTCGAGGAGACGTCGCGAGAAGATCGCGGTCGCGGCGCATTCCTCGCGGACGAACGGCCTTCGCTCGCCGGAGGCTGCGGAATTTGAAAGACCGTCGGGTTTAGTTTCGAAGGCGACGCGAGGAGTTCTCGTTTCCGGTTTCGCGGCCGCGAAACGAGCTCGGAACCAGCGAATCCTATAAAATCACACGCGAAACGTAGATGGCGATCCTCTCGCATCGGGCGAGCCGGTTTCCGCGCGTCGACGAGAGAACCTCTGATGGCACGAACGTTTCTTCCGCGTCTGTTTCGCATCGCGCCGTCCGACCGATTTGAAAAACCGTGATTTGTTCCCCGGCTACGAACGAACGATTCGCGTTCCTGTAAAAAAATCCGCTGGAAATCGGACTCGTTCGCAGCGGAGAGCTGCTCGACGAACGAGACCCGAGCCGCCGAACGCTTATTTTCGGAAACGAATACACCGCGATCGTCGGGAACGCGACGATGATAGCCCGGCGACTTCGACGCCTGCACAGAAGACACGGTCGCGCGTCCCGGAGTCCCCTAATTTCGAGGCTGGTCGAATTCCACTGCCGCGACGAAGTAATCGTATATCTCGAACGTGCCTCGAGACGCAGCGACGACACACCGAGTCCCGATTATCCATCTTTCTCGTCGAGAAAAACCACAGACTCGGCGAAACATCAACTTCCCTGTCCAGTCGTAAACAAACGAATCATCTTCGAAGATTCACAGTGCCGACCTCCTAAGAAAACGATGACTAGACCGCGGATCGTTGCGCAAAATAAAAACTGTCTGCGTCGAATGCGAAACAAAGGAGCCGAGAAGAGATTCGGCGCCTCTTCCCTTCGCTCCAACGAATCGAAAGCCGACGAAGTCGACGTTCTTAATTTCTTTCAATTTTCCTACTGTTTTCAGTTCAACTTTGCCTCGTTCTTTTGCGACGCGTACGCGTGAAATCAGCGGTCCGTCGACGACGATACAAGCAATGGGTCGCTCTATTCTTTCGAAGACGAGGTAACAGACAAAGACAGCCGAGTTCTCCCCGAAGTAAACGGTAACGAAGCGAGTAATAAGCTTCCGCAAGGTTTCGCCGGCTCTGTCCAACAACGATCAGAAACAAGGACACGTTGTCGCTGCCAACGAGATTCCTCCGAGGCGGAGGCTACCGTCGCGATCGTGCCATTCCGGACGCGTTTAAAGCTAGAAACGTTCAGGAACACCGGCCCGGTCCCGACCGTCTGGACTCTGCGCGCGGGGCCCGAGCGGGGCCCGGGCCGAGTCAGGCCCGGACACTGAAACGAGAAAACGAGAAAAGAAAAGGGGGCACCGTACTTACACACCGACACACGGGCGCCGCGAGCCGAAGGATAACGAAACGAGAACCATGTCCTGCGCGCTCTCGGTTTCCACTTCGAATTTCACTCGAGGCATTCCCGAGCCGTTTCCACGCTGTGGCCGCGGCACAGTCTTTCACACGGCCCGATCAATCCACTGTGTTCTCACGAATGTTTCTTAGCCGGATACTAAATGAAACGTCTCTAGGATCTCACGCAAATGCCAGTCGATCCGTCCCGAGACGGCCGAGCGCCGTTTCCTGGCCGTCCAACGCGTCGCCGATCCTTCCGCCAGCTTTCCAGAGATCCTGCGCTCCCTCGACTCTGCCGATCCTCTCTGCAAATCCTCTGCCGATTCTCCGGCGATCGGCCAGAAACGCGCCCTCCTGCACCCTCCTCCGATCGGCGGACCCTCCGAGATCCCCGCGGATCGGATATCGAGGACCTCGGTCCTCCAGGATCGTCCGACGACGGAGACACGGCAACGTCCTCTTCCCAGTCGCGGTGACGAGGAGGAACGAAGAGGAGATCGCGGAAACAAGCTGTCCGCGTCCCGATCGCGGCCCCCGATCGACGTCCTCTCTCTCTCTCGTCAGCGGTTCGCGTAGACGTTGCTGCTCAGAACCACCACGTCGGCCCTCAAGTCTGGCTCGTCACGTCCTCCGAGGAGGAGGGCGCACAGGAGGCGTCATATGCTCAGCGAGGGCCTCTTCTTCCGGTCCTTGGTGGTGTTCTTGCCGAAGATCGTGCCGAGCACCCTCGAGACGGAGTGCACGCCCAGCTTCCGGCGGATCGGCAACGCTCGCAGCAACTGCACCGACCGAGCCTCCCTGAGCAGCGCCTGGAACGCCAGCGCGGCTCCCGCGGGACTCTCCGCCGCGCTGACCTCGTAGAACTGGCAGCCGTGGGCCAGGGACAGCTGCTGGCCCTCGTCCACGCACACCTCTCTGAAACAGAACGGCGGAATCGTGGGTTAGAATCGTGGCTAATCCGGAAGAACCATCGGCAGAGACGCGAAAGACTCGGAACAGACGCGAATTCGACGTCGAGAAAGGTTCGGCGAACGTTCGAACCTCGCGGAGGAAAACGCTGGGAACGATCGGTGTTCGTTCAACCCTTTTGCGACTCGGAACGCGCCGGTAATAACGTTTTGTAACGCCGAACCGTAAGAGTAACGAACTCGCGTCGCTTTTTAACGACGCGAAGACTCTATTTGCGGAGATCTTTTATAGGCTCGCGGTGCTCCGCGGGCCTATGTATAGCACGCCGAAACGACCGTAATTCCAGGAATAGCCGGCTAACGATAACGACGCTTATTAATTTTGTCTGACCTTCCGCGGCCCGCAAAAGTCGAGAGAGCCGGCTCAAAGGAGCCAATTTTCCGGGACGGCGCGCGGCGCACGGTCGCAAACGAGACTCTGAAAACCTCAGCCTTGCGTCCGGGAATTTACAGTGCCGCTTCGAATCGCTATCATTCCGAGAGGATGATCGCGCGCCGGGCGATCGAATAAATTTCGCGGCCGAGGGGGAAGCCTGAGAGCGCGGCGGAATCGTCGGCCGGGTCCGGGAGCGCGGTATAATAAACGAATAAATAATCGTAACCAGTCAAAGGTAACGAGGGCACAAAGAACTATCCGGAGTTCTCGATCGTTGCCAGAAGTCGACGCCAAGAATCCCGCGGATCGCGTCGCGGGAAAGAAATAGACAGACAATCGCGCGAAGGGTGCGCGGAGGGTGCGCGGAGGGTGCGCGCGCGGCTTCTTTCGCAACACGCGGAGACCGTAAATTTTCTGAGCCGAGGAAAAAACGCGTCACGGGGGATCAACGGAAGCTGCGAAGGTCCATGGCGGAGGATCGGAACGGGTCACGACTTCTTGGCAAACACCGTTCCGGATGAACGGAAGCGGCGCGGAGCGGCGCGACGCGGCGGAAGGTGAGTGAACGCGGACATAAAGGCGGGAAGAACGCCGCTGGAAGAGTCACTGGAATTTCGCCAGCCTCTGGACGCCACTGGATATTTATAATTGCCATTGGCGGCGGCTCGGCCGGCCAACTCGACACGGCGACCGCTCGATTATAAGATCCCGAGGAGCCGCGCCATTAACGTTACAAAACGGCCTCGTTAAGTCGCGGCTGCGACGGGATCATTTTCGATACTCCCGTTGATCGGCGAAATTGTATGGTACCGAAACGATACGCGCGCTAAATTAAACCGACCGGATGGGTATTTAAACGGTCCGAGAGGAAACGACGCGTACAATGATCATTTCATTAGAATCGCCGCTCGTAGCGTCTTCGTTCTTTTTATTTCAGAATTTTGCTGCATCATCGTTTCGTTCGACGCGTTATCTCGCGTGTAACTGTGCCTATCGCGCGTGTAACTTACACCGCGTTCGCGAACAATGCCGCAAGCGCTGTGGTACAATTGTTGAATTTTTACAGGCAACGCAAATAATTGTAACAGAGTTAATTTTTATTGAAAAAAAAGAAAAGGAAACACACATAAAGCTAATCGATATTAAGGGTGACAGTTCGGTAGGCACGACTACACACCTCGCTCGTCCGCAGGCAACTGACTAAAAAACAAAATTTTTGGCCGTTGGAGCCTCAAGAAAAAGGCAACGCAGACAGTAGACAGTCGTCGTACTCTCTCGTTAGATGCGACGCAGCTCATCGTACAACAATGTAATACCCTAATTTAAAATATTACGTCCGTCGCAGGGACAACCTTCAACAACAATTATTCTGTTACAAACGAGACGGACATGCTAAATTCTCCCCAATTGACGCTCGGATCGGGTATTTTCTTTTTGCACAAGAATGGACGATTTTTATACAATTTCTAACACAGTTTTTATCATCACCGATCGTCAGCAACTATAAAAACGAGCCGCAAGGCAAGGAGCTACGAACAATCGTACCTCCTCTTCCCAAATTGTCCATTTTGCTGCGCAATCCGAGCGTCAGTTGGGGCGAATTTACGCTAATTATTTCTCGACATCTCGCCGATAACGAAAATAATCATTCGCCCGATAAAATAACACCGCGCAATCAATTAGAAGACGTATCACGCTAACAATTGGGAGGTCGGAGTCGAGATCGAATANTTTTTATTGAAAAAAAAGAAAAGGAAACACACATAAAGCTAATCGATATTAAGGGTGACAGTTCGGTAGGCACGACTACACACCTCGCTCGTCCGCAGGCAACTGACTAAAAAACAAAATTTTTGGCCGTTGGAGCCTCAAGAAAAAGGCAACGCAGACAGTAGACAGTCGTCGTACTCTCTCGTTAGATGCGACGCAGCTCATCGTACAACAATGTAATACCCTAATTTAAAATATTACGTCCGTCGCAGGGACAACCTTCAACAACAATTATTCTGTTACAAACGAGACGGACATGCTAAATTCTCCCCAATTGACGCTCGGATCGGGTATTTTCTTTTTGCACAAGAATGGACGATTTTTATACAATTTCTAACACAGTTTTTATCATCACCGATCGTCAGCAACTATAAAAACGAGCCGCAAGGCAAGGAGCTACGAACAATCGTACCTCCTCTTCCCAAATTGTCCATTTTGCTGCGCAATCCGAGCGTCAGTTGGGGCGAATTTACGCTAATTATTTCTCGACATCTCGCCGATAACGAAAATAATCATTCGCCCGATAAAATAACACCGCGCAATCAATTAGAAGACGTATCACGCTAACAATTGGGAGGTCGGAGTCGAGATCGAATACCGGCGTTTACAAGGATGCCGAGAAAAGCGAGTGCATTCGCGGAAGATCGCCGGTCGATTTATGGTCGCCGCGTGGCGCGACGAGTCGACTGGCGATCGTCGCTAACGAAAACCATCGGCCACAAGGGTTACAGTTTTTCGTGTTCGGCGATCGATCATCGATCCCGGGAGGATCGCAGGCAGGAGGTGCGACGGCCGGGATCCCCCCCGTGTATTTTAGCCGCGATCGACTCGAGGCACGGGGAAGGCCGGCGATATTTATGGTGGCAATTAAATTCGCGGGAAGAGCGGGAACACACGATACTCTCGAAGCGTCGAACCGAACGGGGGATGGGGGATGCTGGGAGGAAGGGAGACGGAGCGCGTGGGAGGGCCCGGCGTAGACTTCTAATCGCGCGCGCGCGCGGGCCCCGTCCCGTCCCGTATGCATGCACACGTCAACGGACACCGCGTCCACGGCCGTTAATCTGTCCCCTTTTATTTTATACGAGGCGATCCGTTGCTTTACGAGGAACGGTGTTAGATTCGAGCCCCTCGTTTCCCGCGGTCCGGCCGGCGTGGACGGCGCGGGCCGACGCGGGCCGAGGGAGAACCGCGCCGCCGACAAAATTCAATATCTCCTGGAAGAAAGATGGCCGGACGAAGGGAGAGCCTCGACGTTTCAGTGCCTCGACGCCGGATCGGGATACCTGCCGCGACCTTTGAACGCGACCACGGGGATCACCGGATTACACGCTGGCTTCGAGCGGAGTCGGACCTCCTCGGGGTCTACGCGGATACGCGCAGGGACCGCGGTGGACCTAGACTGCGGTTTCTGTAAATATCGACCGACAAAGTTCGGCACGTTGTTCGCGATGGGCATATCTTGTACCTTGCATCGTGTAAAGTGGCCTTAAAATGTTCGTCAACACGTTAAAGGCGGGGGATCTTGACGAAAGTATGCTAGGTAACGCGGCGACCGCCCCGCCTCGTTTTTCGTCCTAGAGCGGGCGATATTTTGTGTAATCGTAAAAAAATTTAGACTTAAAAATGTTTATTTAAACTCTTGAAACTAAAAGAAATATTAAAAAGGAACCAAACACTAATTACAAAAAATGTTTTCAAGTACGTATTGATGAGAATTCGAGATAAATCGTAGTACTACAACTCCCGCCTTTAATGTGTTAACACATTGCGGACGGGGCTCTGCGCGTTCAACACGTCCTCAAAGACCGCACATTTTCGAACGCTCCAAAATCATGCTTGGCAAGTAACAGGAAGCGGATACGCACATTTCTAATTTGCATTTAGTATTCTTAAATAATACTATATATACATAGTTTATATATCTGTTTATTATATAAGATTTTTTACATTTTAACTATTATTTATTATACAAATTTGAATATTGATTTAGAGTGGCTATAATGACTGATCATTTCTACATGCTTGGAATGATTCATTTGTTTCGCTAAAATTACTTAGGAATGCGGGAGGCTTCGTTACCTTGGTTACGTAACAGAAATATTTGCGGCTGGTTGCTTGTTGCCGATTAAATAAAAAAAACATGAAAACGAGATATCTCGTGACCCGTCCGCAACGTTCAATTTGCTAAAAACGAGATATCTCGTGAGCCGTCCGCAATGTGTTAATATGGCTGCTATAATACTCAACCCTAGTGGTGCGCACCCTAAAATGTTCGCGATATTCGAAAGCCTAATTATACGACGTTTGGACAGCGCGGCTTGGATCCCTGTGCAATGTAAATACATATTGGTTTAGTCGCTTCTGGCGAGAACAGATGCTTAGTTCCAAGTCGAAGGATTCTAATTCTCGACATTAACCTTTTCAGCTCTGAATACTCCTGGCCGAAACGGTTCGTAGGGACGGAGCGCGGCTATCGCTGACCATCGCTGGGGGCGGAATACTTTTTTGCCACACCGAAGTGACTATTCAAGGCGCAAACAGTAATAAATTATAGTGATTCTTTTGCAGAAGGTTAAATAATTAAAGACTGTTATTTTTGAGCATTAAAATTATGTATTATAAACATTAGCAATTTAAAACGTTAAATTTTACAATCAACTAAAAAACTTAATTCGATATTTACAACACAGGAATCAACAATTTAATTGTGTGTGAAAAATTTCAAAACAATTATCAATACATAGACCGATACGCGAGTGCCACTGTATTAATTTTACACGAAAATAACTGCATATTGA